TATCGTGGGGTTACAGGTACGAATCCTGCAGACATTGTGCCGGCGGGCGGTAAATTCCTATCTGTTCCACATCACTACTTGGACGAAGATGTGAAGAAGATAGTTAAAGCAATCACAGAGTGAGCAGTTTTCTCGATTATCTCTTGTCAGAATCAGAAACGTTATTTAGCGGTAAGCCCTGGACAACTAAGAAGCCTACCACAACGAAACCGACCACGAGGAGAACCACAACGCCAAGTACGATTTTTGTTACAATGCGAGAAGATATGAAAAAAAGATCGGGTTCTTAGCCCTATCGTTAGACGTTTTTTTGCAGAGCCGCTTGACCTAAAATGCCTCATGGTTGGTGATTTGTACAATTTTGGATCGGATGAAGAGAGATACTTGGATGTAAGATCGAACCTCATTGCTTTCCTTTACATACTAGTACAGAAGCTGTTTTAAGGAAGCCGAATTCTTGTCGCAACTTAGTTACGACTTCTTTGAAAGCACTACCGTAAAGCCAATGGCCGGATTGTGGGCATATGGTCACACGACATTCCCAGAATCACCCGATCTCAGCAGCATCACCGCTAATCGAAGTGTTTTCGAAAAACAACTCCGTGGAATGCTTTATCGTAGAAAATCCAATGCTTCCACAACAGCATAGTTAGGAGATGTGAAAAAAGTGATTGCAGTCTTTTAGCGATACTTTTCAGCGCGATCGAAGTCATCAACAAGATGCTCGAAGATAGTCGTATGAATTGTTTAGTCTTTCTCGCAGCAAGGTTAGTTTCCTTGTTTCGCTGCTGCTGCTATCGTCAAACAATAATTTTTAGCAATGATACTCGGACCGAATTCAACCTGATAAACGAAAAGACACGACTCGTAGCAGTCGGACTTGATGGTTAGTATAGTTTCATTTCTGAAATGCAGTTTTTCCGGTCTGATTTTTCCTCCGTATTGCTTTTGTGACTCCAAATCTGCCTTTTGCAAAAGAAACTAACTGATACATCGCCAGTTCAGCTCCAAATTACTTTTAACACTTTCCTTGTTTCCATAACTAATTGTTCCCAGAGTTCTAAAAAAGAAGAAGCAACAGTCAAAAATACCAAAAATAACTACCCACTTCAAAAAACTGTAATTTCAA